AATATGTTTTTATTGATTTCAGAGAGGAAGGGAGAGGGAGGGAGAGATAGAAACATCAGTGATGAGAGAGAATCATGGATCGGCTGCCTCCTGCACGCCACCTACTGGGGTGGAGACCACAACCTGAGCATGTGCCCTTGACCGGAATCGAACCTGGGACCCTTCAGTCTGCAGGCCGACGCTCTATCCACTGAGCAACACCAGCCAGGGCTCAATTTTTTTTTTTCATTGACTTTTGCAAGCCACTCAAGTCCCTGAATGATGCGCCTCACCTCCAGGCATGCCAGGACCATGGCCTATGGCACAAACACGCTAACTCACCTACAGGTCCCTCTACCTAGCACGGTCTTGAGCTCTGAGCCTTGGCACAATGGTCTGCACCTACTGAAGCCCCAATCAATGGTTCTATGCCCAGCTGTCTGTCTCTTCTCATTCTCAGAGAAGCTGACAATCTGTAGCATCGTCAGCATTGCCCTCTGTCTGTCTCTCTCGTACATCTCTTTCTGGGCTGGTCCGATCTCTCCCCTAACATCACGTGGTTCCAACAAAAAAGACTCCTTTAAAACCTATCTGCTTCCCTTTTTATTTGTGAATAGGAAATTATTTTTTTAAATGTAGTTCATCACCCAATCTAGGGTCTTTTTGAGAGTGAGCGGGACACTATTCATCGTTATGCTGGGCCATCTGGTCACCCCAGGTCTGAGGCATTGCCCAACTGTGAGCCTGACAAGCCCAAAGAGCACACCAGCCAGAGTGAACAGGGCTTGCCTAACGACCCCCTGGCAGTTTTGGGGTTCTGCGTTTTCTGACCTCACGCTCCCCACCCGCACTCGCCCTAGTGGATGGCAGCTCTAATTCAAACGACGCCATGCAGAGGTAGGACTTACTTTTTAATTCTTTCTCCAAAGGAAGCTACTTCCTCCAAGATGTTCTGAACTGTGGAAACGATGTCCTGTACCATGTAGATTCTTTCGATGATGCCCTTTTTCTCGGATTCCTAAGAAATGTAAAAGAAAGATTGGACGCAGTTACGCTCTCGTTATTGTTCCGGTCTAGAAAGGAGTGTGCTGTGCTACATAATAGCATGGTTATCATCCACAGAGTGACTCTAACAGATGTCACATTTCTTGCAACATAAATATTTATTTATTTCTGATTTCAGAGAGGAAGGGAGAGGGAGAGAGAGAGAGATAGAAACAACAGTGATGAGAGAGAATCATTGATTGGCTGCCTCTTGCAGGCCCCCTACTGGGGACCAAGCCTGTAACCCAGACATGTGCCCTTGACCAGAATTGAACCCAGGACCTTTCAGTCCACAGGCTGACGCTCTGTCCACTGAGCCAAACCGACTAGGGCTACATGCATTTTTTCAATCTATGTTTGGTTGAATCCACAAATGTGGAACCCATGGATGCAGAGGGTCAACTATACCAGCTGAGGAATTCCAAGTCAGCTCAAGCAGTTTGCTCTTTAAAAATGCCCTGTGAGAAACTACCAAAACCTATATAGTCAGCTGGTTTTTCAAAAGAAAGCTTTACAAATCTATGATCCTCAGATGATTTCAAGTAAAACAAAGGAGACTTAGTGGTTTCCTTTAGATGAAAACCAGGGTAACTTGAACCTAAAAAATTCTGAGTTTTCATTTTATTGTTAATATTGTATTTCACTAGAATTATATCAGTTCCTTTATCAATACTTACCAAATTTTTAAATAGAAGCAAAAGTTTCTAGAAAATGGAATAGATATCCACATTCAAAAGAGTGAGGTTGGACCCTATCTCACACAATATTCAAAAATTAATGAAAAATGGATCAAATACCTAAATGCAAAAGCTAAAATTATGAAACTCTTAGAAGAAAACACAGAGGTAAAGCTTGGTGACCTTTGATTAGGCAATGGTTTCTTAGATATGACACATAAAGCACAAGTAACTAAAGAAAAAAAACATAAATTAGACATCATCAAAGTTAAAAATGGGCTTGCTTCAAAGGACACTACCAAGAAAGTAAAAAGACAGCCTACAGAAAAGGAGAAAATATTTGCAAATTATATGTGTAATAAGGGTCTAGTATCCAGAATATATAAAGAACTTAGATCGCTCAATAATAAAAAGACAACCCAATTTTTTAAATGGGCAAAGGATTTGAATAGACATTTCTCCAAAGAAGATATACAAATGACAACTAAGCACATGAACAATGCTCGCTCAACGTCATTAGTCATTAGGGAAATGCAAATCAGACCACAATGAGAGATACCACTTCACACCCACAAGGATGGCTATAATGAAAATGATGTACAATAATAAGTGTTAACAGGATGTGAAGGATTGGAACTCTCAGACATTGATGATAAGAACGTAAATTAGTGCGGCCACTTTGAAAAACAATCTGGCAATTCTTCAAATACTTAAGCATAGTTTCCATATGACCCAGCAATTCCAATCCTGAGTATACACCTAAGAGAATTGAAAAGATATTTTCACACAAAAACTTGTACACAAATGCTCTTAATAGCATTATTCATAATAGCCCCCAAAGTAGAAACAATCCAAATGTCCATCCACTGATGAATGTATAAACAAAATGTGGTATAGCCATACAATGGAATATTACTCAGATATAAAAAGAAATAACGTACTGATTCATGCTAAAACATGCATGAACCTTGAAAGAATTATGCTAAATAAAAGAAGCCGGACACAAAAGGCCAAATATCATATGGTTTCATTTATATAATGTCCAGAATCGGCAAATCCACAGAGACAGAAAGTAGATTAGTGGTTGCCAGGGGCTGGGGGTACAGAGGAGGGGGAAGATACTGCTAATGGATATAGGGTTTCTTTTTTTTTGGAGTGATGAAAATGTTTCCTAATTATATAGTGGTGATGGTCACACAATCTTGGGACTATACTAAAGCTCACTAAATAGTTCATTTTAGAAAAATAAACTTTATCATTTTTTCTTTTGATTTTTCTTTTTTAATTCTTTATGAATTTTTTAAAGCAGAATAAGAATGAGGAGGATAAAAGGAAAAATATCTGGAAAATGTCTTTATCAAACAGAGTATTATGAAATTCTCTATTAATATTAATAATTGGATTTTTAACCTAAGTGTTGAATAGAAGTGATTATTTATACCTGGAAAAATTCAACAGAATTGGGCATTGAGTGAAAACTCAACATTTGAAAGCTACATTTACATTGTCCTATGATGGTAAGACTGGAAAAAAATTCAATTTTCAAACATCTATAT